TTTTTTTTTTTGGAGAGGTTTTGGCTATAGGGCGTGTGCGCTCGCCAGAGAGACAGAGAGACAGAAAGCAAGAAATCACCCCCAGCGGGGATGGCCACACCACAATCCCCTCTCCTCCATTCTCCTCTCAGGATATTGGGCACACACGCACATGCACCCAGAGTGAATTTAAGCCACCAGGTCCTGGACTCGAACCATGGTCGACTACGTGGGTGTCCAGCGACATAGCCATTATGCTAACTGCTGGTCCCAAGAAGGAAACATCTTTACAAGAGTAAAATTTAGAGCTGGCCAGATAGTGGTGAACTTTGCAAAGCTGACCCAAGGTTAAGATTCTGAGGTCATGTCCAGTGGCCCCCTGAGTACACCAGGCATGTATGTGTCCATGACCCAGGGCTAGCAGAAGCTGGAGGTGATCATGACATCAAGACTGTTGGAAGGTCTCTCTTTCTTTCACTCACTCATAGAATAAATAATTTTTTAAGTTAAAAAAGAAAAAAGAAAGTAAAAATCAAGAAGCCTTGAGTGGCACCACTCTGGGTAAAGATCCCAGTGACAGAATGGAAAGGGTTCATGTCCAGAAATGCCCACCATATACTCACGTGAGGAGCTGTGAGGAGAGGAGAACTGGAAAGGGCAGAGGGAGCCCGGGGCACAGCTCTGGCAGGGCTGGGGGTTTGAGGCAGGCTGAAGGGGTGCAGACGCGGGTTGGGGCTCAGGCTGCCCTCTGAGTCACTGCTGTGGCTGCTGGGAGGGGTTGGTGGTAAGTGTAGGTGGTCTGTGGAGGCTAAAGAAAAGAGAGCACAGTCCGTCCATCACAGAGGAAGCAGCAGGCCGTGGGGCTGGTTTAACTAACTACCCGCATCCCCACAGAGGACTACTCGCATCCCCACAGAGGACCTCAGGACAACCAATGTGGAGAGAACCACAAGATGTGTTGTGGAGTTGGGGGGAGCCAGGGGCAAGACAGAGGATAAAAGGGGTAGCCCTCCTGTATAGAAAAAGGCAAAAGGATGGGCTGACCTTGTAGCCTAGTGGTTAAGAGAGTTGGATTCCACGTGGGCAACTGAGTAGTTCGAATCTCAGATCTGGCATTTGAAAAACAAGCCGGGTGTGTGTTCATGTGTGCCCAGAATCTCAACAGGATGGAAGTATGGAGGAGGGATTGTGATGTGAAAGCGACTGATTTCCCATTCTCGCCTCTGTCTCTGTCTCTCTAGTGAGCACTCCCTGACAACTGAAAAAAAAAAAAGAAATAAAGGGGAAAATGAGAATATAGACGCCTATTGCCATGTGGTGGCATAAAGAAACAGTAGACATATATAAAAACTAATAAAAGTGCAACCCACAGCAGGCAGTGTGAAATTGGGACTGACTGTGACAGAGTGTTGATACGACTTTTCACTCTACTCTTTTTAGACAGCTGGTATAGTTTGATTTGTAAGCCATGTTAATTATTATAAACTTCTAAAAAATGTTAAAAAATAGAAAAACCTAGGAGCCCACAAGTGTTCCAATGGCTGCTTTAAAAAATGTTCACTGGGGGGGGGGGGGGGGGGGGCCGCGGGGGGCACAGGG